GGCGGTGAGGATACATGCAGTAGTGTCCATGTGGTTAGCTTGGATGTAGCTAAATTGGATTAACATACCACATCTGTCAAGCGAAGAGACAAACGAGTGCGCGTTGTCGTTCGCTTTTTATTTCTCACGCACTTACTGAACTATAACAGCTCTATATTATTTTGCTTGTGCACATCCCATTCCCACTTAAAACTATCGTTATGCAGTAGTGCATTTAACTCGGTAGACGCTTGAAATAACGAGTTACTTATTCGATGATGCTTCAAATTTTAATTTTTACTCCAACCATCCTAAGGGACTTGTCAAGCACATACTTTTTTACCCGTGATAAATCATTGTTCATTGTTCATTCACAGTGATTAGAACATAATTAACAATGTTTTGAATCATGATAACTGACATCTTCACCATCTGCTCATCTTCAGTTTAATATCAGCTTATCTAGACCCTTTTTGTCTTTCTACACGGCACTGTCCGCCGTTTATCATAACGAGGGCTGCCACACCCACATGACTCCCGTTGTGCACCGAGCTCCATCCATTCATCCGTCCAGTCAAGCTGCCCCATCTGCCACACCTGTCTGTCGTTTGTTCATTCACAAGTTTGACCATACCTGCAGCCCGACACATCATCCCCCCTGAAGCCACCCGTGACCTTAATGCATTATCGACTTATGCGTTCCACAATGGCCACGTCATTGTGTAGTTGTCCGGAAGGCAGTGATCAAGCAGGAGAGTGAAAAGTCATTAGAACGAAGGAGGACCGAAACGGGCGCAGACATCACGGACTAGATCGGACAGCGCAACCCCAGCACAACAATGAGAGCAGAGAGCGGAACGCGAGCAACGAACGAGAACGTGCCTGATCCCAAGAGTACTAAAAAGGGATGTGTCAATGGGCCAATGAATCAGACAGACACACCTTTGTCGGTACATCCTGTAGTACTCCCAAGCCGGATAACCCAACCGTAATCAAGCAAACCAAGAGCTTTAGATCAACTCCAGGCTGGTCAGAATGTGAGCTACGGAAGCAAAGCTACGGGGTCAGACAGACAGCCAGGACCATGAAATGTTCCGGCCGACGAGGCACGAAGGTAACATGTGGTTCCCAATATATGTTGTGTTGTGGGATGGAAATATGGTCGATAAATGCACGCGTGCGCACAGCTTGAAAAAACCGTAGTCGCGTGCAATGAAGACTGTGCTTTCTTGCCGCTTCGTTCTTGCCACAATTACACAGGGTTACCTGGCCCAATGTAAGGACTTCTGCGACTTAGATTGCCGATTCTGGCCTTTGTGACCTACTTCAACATTCACAAGTATATTAATCTGCTCTCACAAGGTATACCTTGTGTATGCTCGATGGTTTCCGTACTGAGCGTATATTGTTGAGGCTTATCATAATTGAATTTCGGTATCCATTTGAACTGTTTTGATTTGACTCTGCAGTTCCTGGTGTTGATCAAGCTCCAAGCGATATCGTTTACAGTAATGTCCAAAACGATGTCGCTGAGATACGCTTAATGATCCTGTTACAACCAACTGGTTTTAACGGCTCTCTTATTCCGGATGAACGAACGACGCGAACTCTGTTCAAGCACGAAAAGTGGAGGACAGAATTCCTATTCATCCAAACCATGAGACTTAGTCTCCAAACGTTTTTAACCGCGAGCCGAATCAACCAACTAGGACGCACACGGACCTCACACGCGTCTACACGATCTCGCGACTGGGTGAGATAGAAGAAAATAAACTTTAGCAGCAGACGCTTTTGTTGGCCCAGAAAAGGAAATTACAACGTTGCCATGTCTCAGTTATTCACCGAGATTAGTGGCGTATGCAATTTTGCATAAAGAACAGTCCGCGTCGGCTAAACCAAAGAAAGAAGTAAATTGACGCAATGCGCCTGAACCAAGGTTGGTAAGCGGAGCGTGTCGAAAAAGTGAATGTAATGGCGGGGGATGGTTCGAAAAAATGAGTTTTTGTAACTGCGGAAGCTGGATGTACATTCGCATTGACGCTACTGTGAGCGTCTGTGCCTTAGGTGACTTCAGCTTGCGCATTAATATGGTGACGAGCCTTCCATATAACAGATCCCACTTATTAGATCTCAATTCTACGGTGCTGTTCCCAAGAAATCGAATCCACACACGAACAAAACACATTTCTCTACGACAGAAAATGCACTTGGGTAGCTAGCATCCCGTCGGATTAGCACATATACAAATCGTCAAATATGTTGGTAACTGGAAGCGAACAGGCAGGCCTCGAGCGGGTAGACATAATCTCAGTTAGCTTGTAAGTTATGACGGTCCACTGAAGTCACCCGTGGCTTAGTAGCATAAATTACTGGCTCGTGGCACAACACTGTAGTGGTCATAGGTTCGTACCCTGCTGGAGCCGAGGGATGTGCACTACAAACGAGACCCAACGGGCCGAAACAGCCGTCCAGAGCTTTTCCGATCAGGTGAAGGACTAGCTGATTTAGAACCTGCTGCAATGAACATTTCAACAAAGGGCAGACAAGAAAACACCGTGAATGCGGAGACCAGAATACTGGCACAATGGGCCGGGTGAAGACACGCACATACCGAGGGTGGTCGTTTGTTAAGGAAAATTCATACGTGTAGCAGGGTTCCGCTACACTTACTACGACAGTTGTGATCATAATAAAGTTATGTTGATGTGTTGCAAAATCGTTATTATAATTATCCACCTTTGTTTCAAGTAAATCATCTCCCCTAAAAACATCGATACAAGTTGTCTTACTAGTCACTAGCTCAGTAAGCTAGAAAACATTCTGCGGTTAGAACACAGAAGCCGCGCTAAATAGTGTGCTACCATTTTCATAGATACAAATGCTTCCTGTCGGAACATATAAACATTTGGCCTTGTATTAACAACGTAACATTCACCATCCTGGTGCCCATTTAAGAGCGTGCCGCTTGCATCTACTAACAACCTATGTCAGTACATGTGTACTGCCAACTGCCCTGTTTGGACGCGCTTTCGGTCACCTTCAGAAAGATGAAGAAAAGAAAAGAAAGTTCAAAGTGACCCGAATTATTTTAATGCATCGTTAACACCACCAGTCGTTTATTCTTAGGAGGATCGTACATCCTGTCCGCGTGTTTGGTTACAATTGGGTGAACAATTTATCTAGCCCTGGTCGTCCCAGTGCGATAAATTTTGGTCCCCTATCGATCACACAAAGAAAGTTGTTTGTCCTTCTTTCTTCAGTAAGGCTTTTTAATGTTTTGGGGGTTGAATTCCGCTGAGCACAAAGCGGATTGCCACCAGTAATGGTATATACACACGGGATATGTCAGGGCGACGTTAAACTTTTTTCTGAGTGGCTAACAATCGTCAGAAATATGCAGCACTGCGACGATCATGAACACAAAAGTCGATCATTCAGAGGGTTCTAGCAGTCATTACAGTGTACAACAATATATCATACTATGCAGGAACGTGCTTTTAAAACTAACAAAAGAAATAAAGCATCAGCTGCACGCCGTAATGGCGCCACGCTGCCGCGCGACCACCACCAGTCCCGCGTGGGCTGAGTCTACCGCGAGGTCGCCCGCTTCTACTCGGATTCGAACCAGGGACCTTATGATTGCAAGCCACGCGTGCAGACCACTCGGCGACCGGCCGACGTGGGGCTCGGTATCATGGAATTCATGCCTTAATCTGGGACTGTGTGGAGAGCAATGTTTTTGTTCCTTTGTTTTCTGGGATATCGAGTAAGCCCCAGGTTGTTTTGCTTCAGACAGACTCGACATACATATTACCAAATTTGAGTATCTGATTAACGAGAAACGCCGACTTCATGATTATCAGGCGTTACAACCATTTTGCCACATTGATCTCGAGTTGACTGAGCGTATCTGTATAAACTGCTTCGGAGAATTGTTCAAGCTATGCGACCAAACGCAACTCATTTTTTCTCACATTTCACGTAACCTGAGAGCCTAACCCGTTCACGTTCGGCGAAGGACTTTACATCAGCCGTTGCCTTTTTCGCTGAACAACGTTTTTGCGCTACCTACTGCAGACATGTCAACTTTTCAAAAATAGTCTGACAAATTTTTTGTTCAAACGATTTGCAAGTTCAGTGAGATCGTCGTACTCTATTCTCACTTGATGAGTAAGATGGGACCTTGCCGCATCCAATGTACCTATTCAGTTCCTTTGTGGAACACCGCTTCGCAACAATCAGCGGCTCCAACGCAATGATCGGGAAGTGAAGGGTCTGACAAAGGACTTCCCTTATGCTCTCTATAATCCAGTGAACCAATGATACAATGACCGCTTATGAATATGAATGCTGAGATACTGCACGCGATTCTCTAGTTATCGATTTTGGACAAGAACTTTTACGCCAACCGAAACCACTCAGGAAGAAAAATTTTAATAAACCTTTGCCCAGTTGACTAAGCGCAAATTTCGAGAATCCCGTTCCACATTTGTGAGATTGTTGTTCTGGCAAACATAGCCCGTTTACCCGAGCGATGGCAGTGCACCCACTGTTTTTGCCTACCAATTTATAACATTCTGCATTTTTAGTGTCGATTTAGTGCGCCTGCAGTTAATAATGTAAAATTCTGAAATACACTCATGTGGTATCTTGACTTGTCTTGACTGCGGAACCAGCATACTTGGGTCAAAATGGCCATTTCCGATAGATCCTCTCCTGATGATTTTTAAAAATCACGTTGGCGGAAGCGCACCGAACCGAACATCGCAACTTTTTAATAGGCTTACTTATTTTCGTGTTGAGAAGTCATATCCAGAGTATTTGTTCACGTCAGTGCTCATGATCATTGAAGTTCTATAAACTTATGTGTTCGCCATTGTGGGTCGGAACAAGCTGGTCCCTGTCACCAATACTACCATGCAAAGAATCCACAGATCAGTTAGGGTTTAACCTATGAAAGGTATGTGTGATGAGATTGGTGTAAGGGGGCGGATAAAGATGTACTTCCCTGTCCGGTCTCAGGTGGAATGCGATGCTATTTCCATGGGTCAAGGTCAAGAAGTGCACGCTCGTCGACTACTTACACAATCTATGACACAAGGCGGGTGGGTTTTGCTGCAGAACTGCCATCTCTCAGTTGCTTACATGTCTGAGGCTCTCCACGAATTGGAAAATGCAGAACAGCTGCATGACGACTTCCGACTCTGGGTCACTACCGAAGTGCATCCTGGTTTTCCGATTGCATTTCTGCAAACCTCTATCAAATTCACGAACGAACCCCCGCAAGGAGTCAAAGCCAGCCTGAAGCGCACTTATGGAAGCTTTACTCAAGTAAGTTTTATTGGCTAAGCGTGAAGTACCTAATGTTTCACCTTTTTAGGCCACTCAACTACTAAATAGACAGTGACACGGCTTGTCATTCTTTCTTGACATATGATAGCCATGCTTAGCATAACGCTTCGACATGCATTCAGTTCAGCGTTTCCGTAAGAGCGCGCCTGAGCACTTCCTAATGCTTGCCAATTTTGAATATCGCACCTTTGAGGTCTAGTGGCTAATAATTCACACGGCTAATAAGCGCGTCGTGTTCATTTATTCCATATCGTCCACATAAGACAAATGCATTCGCTCAGTTTACTATATGTGCAGATGTTATCTAATAAGTTGCACTAAAGTGATCTAAGTAACGGACACAGGTTTGGCCACAGAAACTTGACCAAAATGCCTTTGAAATGGTAACCCTGTTCAACTCCATGGTAAGAGTGCATTATACCAACAAAGTTCCAAACCCCTCCTTGCGTGATGTTTTGTTCTGAGTTCGCACACATGCGCTGATAATTAGAGACTACAAGGAGTGATATGTCCCAGTTATCAATGCTCGTCATGTGGTGCCAGCGACATTTGTTTTCTGTGGTGCGTTGGACTCACGGAACTCATTTGCAAATTTCTTTCATCACAAAAGGAAGCCCCTTGTGTGGCTAGGTAATCGTTGGCTTATGCCGTTTTCTGAATTTGAACCAGCTGATCCATGCTCTGTGATAGGTAAAAAAGGCAGAAGCTAAAGATGTTCTTAGGTCAGTAATAGAAGGCATGTGGGCGTAATACGATGCATATCGGCGGAATAATAGTTTCATGGCTCATAGACGTAGGGTTGTTGGAGTAATATGTTGCCAAGCGAAACGGAATAACAAGCTGTTGTGTTTAATGCTTGTTGCAAATAGCGATTGGATTGCCCACTCGTCTGCACAGATTTAGGTGCGTCCCTGTGGGTTACGTTACCACAAAGCTAGTTAGTTTGAATATATTGCAAGTAACATCATCAAGAGAGATTCAGCACCAAACTGCACGGAGAAAGTAGCAGCACACCGCAGTACTGTTCCAATAGAATGCACGTGCTACAAATCATGTTTGACGATAAGTTTACCATAGCATAGCATTCTTTTTATAGTTAGTATTCTATAGTTTATGCTTCTTCCCTCCTACTCACTGCTATAGGAGTACCTAGACTTTAGTAAGTTGCCTCAATGGAAGTCGCTGGTGTTTGTCGTATCGTTTTTGCATACTACGGTCCAGGAGAGAAGGCAGTATGGACCGCTCGGTTGGAATATTCCGTATGAATTTAACACATCGGATTTGAACGCCAGCCTGCAGTTCTTACAAAATCACTTGGATGAGCTAGACGCAATGAAGGTACGTTCGCATCTACCTCTACAATGAGTACTTGCTTCCATGGTTTAAGGCAGAATCACACTTCCGTTAATTGCGTGGTTGTTTGGTACACAGATACTGTCATTTTCTTTTCTCCAGAATATTGATTGGAAATGTGTACGATATATGTTAGGGGAAATTCAGTACGGTGGCCGTGTTACCGATGACTTCGATAAGCGACTGTTGCTGACTTACTGCAAGGCATGGTTTCATGAGGCAATATTTTCGCCGGACTTCGAATTTTCCCGGGGCTACCGCATCCCCCAAGTAACGACTTTGGAAGCAATTATGGACTGGATCAATGAACTGCCACCCACAGTTTCGCCGCAGGTTTTTGGTTTACATGAAAATGCAAACATTGTGTAAGTACCCGAAAATGGATTTGGAATTTTGAAATACTATTACGTTGCAGCCTTACACTTTTCTGTAGGTAAATCTGTTCCATCTTGGTTGTTCTTCGATACTAGGGAAAACCAGACAACGAACTGTTTAGAGTGCTCCTGGGTTTGGTTAGATGCATCGTGCCACTTCGCGTACGTCACATGTGGCGATATCGTGCAGACGAATCGCATGTTAGACAACTAGATATAATGACAACACTAACATGGAATCTCAAGCGTAATTTGTGCACTCTCCTCCTCGTACCTTTCCAACTCGCCGCTCTGCTGCGCCTCATCACTCACAACATATCGGCGGAGATAGATTTCTCCACTACGCACCTTTCGTCCGGCGATCCACGAGTTCCGCGATTCCCCTACCTCTCCTCGTTTCCACATATAATATTCACTAATATCGCGCCGCACAATAAAGCCATACCACAATCTTATCAGCCATCAAGCCACACAATTCCTCAAGGACACGTTGTGCACGATGATTTTATTAATTTTATTGGATGCCGAGAAGCATTTTCTTCTCACAACGCAACAAAACCACGGTTATCCCACGACATTTATCCACAAACATTCTGCTGTTTCTGATCAACCTAAAGAAATACCAGCGGTAAAGAAAATTGATGCATCAATTTCGGTTCCGTTTAAAGCAGATATTGCCTACAAGTTACTAAACTGTAAACCAAACATATCCGGCTGCAATAGTCCACCTACTTGCTGAGGCTGTTCCGTTTATCACTAAAAGCCTCGAAGACAGACTTCCGACTCGTTCCGAATCTTTCGTTGTATATCAGTTCACCTGCGCCTGTGGTGCCAGGTACCTCGGACACACGACCAGGTGTCTGTTTAAGATGATAGCGGAATGCTGTCCCGCCTCTTTACGGCACCATACAGTTAGGAATGCCCATAGCCCCGTCCTTGAACACCTGATTAGTATGGGGCATCATATTCGGACTGATGACGCTTTCGAGGTTTTTACGCCGTACCTAAACGCAATCCAAAAGGACTTAGAAAGAGCCTGCTGGCTATTTCGGAAGCAATGGCTATCACGCTGCTGCAACCGGAGTTATGCAATCAAAAGACGCTTGTGTAAGCGCTCACGCTGCCTTGGCCCGAACGATTGACGCCGTCCGTACCTACCTTTAACCACGACTGACTGTGAGCTTTGACGCCAAACCAACCATTTCTTTCTGGTTATGTTTGCCTTTAAGTGTTTGGGATGTGAAGGCGCGTGACGTTTACCACCTGATTGCATTGACTCGAACTATTTGGTATATGATTTGTTCGAAAAACGGAAGACGGAAGGATACCGGATTCCAAAATCATATATCGTCAGGGATCAAGCAACCGATTGACACAATGTTTGATTTGTCGGTCGCGAACTTCGTCAGACACCCTTCGGACCATCCCCCAAGAGAGTGCTGATCACCTTGCATTAATAGTAGAGTGCGCTGAATCGCACCATGCCTGGGTTTATAGGCAATCATGATGTCATCTGCAAAATGAAAGGGTTAGCCATTTTTGATGGGCATGCCACTATAAATGATGTAGAGGAGGAAGGACAAAGGACCAAGTACAGTTCCCTGGATAACGCTGCTGGTAATTGGGTCTTGAGAACAGTGGCGCTCACCCAAAGTGACTAGTTGAAAGCGATTGCTAATGTAAGAGCAAAGCTAACTTAAAAGTGGGTTCCGGATTCCAAGGGATGTAACCATTTTCAATAACCGATTGCGTGGCACACAGTCAAATTGTCACAGTTTAGCGATTGCGGAACTTACGCTCAGTGGATGGCTCGTAACCGAAGCAAAATACGTCAGGTAAACGGTAGACGGAACTGCAGGTTAAGCAGCATGCTATACAACGCACTGATCTAGTTTTCTAAATTAGGCCAATCGATGAGTGGGATTTGCGGGTTCCTGACACAAGCCAGAGGATACAGGCAACAAATGGGAAGGGGTCAGTACATTGGACATGAGGATGCCGAATTCCTTCTCCCCTTGGTTTATGACGTTTCCAGCTAGCTTGGTATCAATCGATACATCGGCATTGACCTTCCATTGAACTGTGACCTAACCATTTTCTACTGCGGCTTTAGATTGCTTATCCTGTTGAAGCAAGTTTTCTCACAATTGTAAATGCCTGAGGGGAATTATCGAAAAGAAATCTATTCGCAGCAACTCCTCTTCTTCTAGTGTATGAATGGGCATAATACACTAATTTTATTAATATTGGCGAGGATATCCTGTTGAAGCAATACCGACACTGGTTATTCTTCATCCATTCCTGCTCAATTCTAGCCATGATTCTCTGCCACATTTGTAGGTATCAGGGGAGAAGAGCAAAAGAGATACTCAATTGCATTCTGAGCATACAACCAAAAGACGCCGGTTCTGGACTTGGAGAGACAAGGGAAGATGCCGTTTATCGGATGACTGAAGACATGCTCAGCAAGCTACCGCCAAATTATATCGCTTTCGAAGTGGCTGAACGGCTGAATCAAATGGGTTCGCTTGAACCGATGAACATCTTTTTCAGACAAGAAGTGGACCGTATTCAGCGCTTGATCAACACTGTCCGGGTGTGTCTCACCGATTTACAATTAGCCATCAATGGGACTGTCGTAATGAACCAAACTCTCAGAGACGAAATGAACTGCATATATAATGCTTGTATCCCGACAGCTTGGGTGAAGGTGAGTGCCACGTATATGTTCGTACCTATCAGGGTTGTGGTTTTTGTAGCGGAACGCAGTCCTTCAGGGACAAGCGTTTATTCGGCAAAGCCAACGCAATGAAAACTACAGCAGGTTGGGCAGGCCGAACTTCTTGATATATATATTGTCCATTCATATCCATAAACAACGACCCTTATGAGCCGATGATACTCATCCTTTGACTCCATTAAACAAACGGTGATTACCCCACAAGAACATTACCCAATCCTTGTCCATTGATCGAATTCGTTCTGTTCATCTCCCATTGGTTGTACGGCTCGCTCATTTGATCCATCCATTCACTCTGATAGGACAGTCCATCACAGTTATGTTAAGGCAAGCACTTTGGTTTAGAGGCATTTATTTTAGACTGGGGGTCCCCAGTAAGAGAATGCAGTACGGCGTTTAGGAATCATCTCGTACTCCGCTGCGACCCCACGTGAAACGATGTTAATTGACGTAAGATCAAGGTTGTTTAGCAAGATCGGTACAAGTTACATAATATATTGAATATCGGTTACTGTATCGTAGAAGCAAGCAGAAGTTGCATGCAGTACAGCTCCATCGAAATAAGAGTGATAACGATAAAAAGCAATCACAACCACTTATGACCTTTTGCACTCTAATCGTTTTCAAGTTTTAACGTGATATCGTGAAATGTCTATGACTTACAGTAACTCGGGACTCACAAATGCAAGATGTCACTGACATCAGGTAGTCGTTCTCTGAACTTGACAGTACAAAAATGTTAATCTAGCGATGATTTGAACTGTTGCCCTGAAGCTGACTCTACTACATTCTCTGACTGACTGTCATACTGATCTTAAAATTAAACTATGAGAATGATACAGTCTTCTTGATAACTAGCACTCAGGGATTTATACAGCTTCGAGCTTCAAATCAGGCCCACACAGCAGTTTGAGGCCTAACACAAAGTTACCATACAACGCACGCAATAACGAAGTAGGACTATCGCGTGTCTGAGGAACTTTATTGCTCATGTGAGCATACATGGAACATGTTGCTACCCGGCTTTGAGCTTTCCTGCTTCAATGAAATCAGTCTTATTAAGTCAGTCTCATTTAGTCTAATCCTAATAAGTTGCATTCTCCCGCAATTCGCGTGTACGTGCAATGCCATTCACGTCAAAGCAGTTGCGCTCAATACTCGTCACTGATAACTCGTGCTTAAGCGTCTACCTACGTAACAACGCTGTGATAATGGCCGTAATATGCGACAGAAAGACGTATTTGAGCCAGACAAAGCAAATTTCAATACCACTTAGCTGATTTGTGATGAGAGGGCTACGGGTTGATGGGCTTCGGACAGGCTGAAATGCAGTCACGATTTAGTATCAAATTACGCTGAGTCCATATACTTCATTCCACACCGCCCATCTCTTTGGAAAGGGAAAAGAAAGAACACATGCTGCTTGATACTAAGGTTATCTCTAATACGACTTTTGCGAAACCTAAGCGCTTGGCGCGAAACAAGTTACGTTGTTTTCATTAAAAGACTGCTGTGAGTGTAAGTTCTCCCTTAATACAGCTAACTCATCTTTGGCGATATTACCCAGTTTGCTATGATACCACCACCTAGATGTACTACATATACATACATGGCTGGCGGCATGCGGTTTCGGATTTTCCTGTCACGGTGGCCAGCCACAGGTGGCCTACACCTACAGAGGGACCATGGGTGGCTTGCGCTGCACCACCCACAGCTCCCACCACACACACCATATCCAGTGTAAACCCGAAGGAATAAGACCGGGAGGCATGTTGATGGGAATCACGTTTCATCAACGGAGCCGACCCACAGGCAAACACAAGCACGCTGTATTTGGGGAATCAAGCACACACAAGGCGGTGGCTGGACCGTAGTCCGCTCCACACTGAGTGCATGGAACCACACTTCGAGCCTTGCACGGCCGCAAGGACCGTGCACCCCGTCCCATCCAGCAACGACCAACTGTCTCCTGGAGCCAGTATGGATGAGGTAGTGGGTAATAGACAGGTAGGCACCTTGTCAACGTGCACATCAAGCGCAGTCACACCGGGCATATCAAGCAACAGCCAATCACTTGAAACGACAATATCAAATAGAATAACTCGAATCATGCATACAGACATGGTGACATAACACTTCAATAAATAAGCATATGAAATAAATTGTTTACGAACAAATCCGCGATTAGTTCAAGACGTCGGAAAATATATTTTAAAAATGTCACAAACACAAAAATGTTATCGAAGTTAACTAAGGTAGTTTAAAGGACTGTGCAACCTTATACAAGAAAGTTCAGGTGGACGTTAATATGAGATAAAAAACCATTAGGACAATATAGCAAACCCACCACCTGAAATAACGAGGCACAGCATGCAAGCACGCGGTTAGTAAATCGAATACAGCGTGCCTGCAAACGCTGCGCCGGTTCTGCCTAGGTTCTCTGCAGGACTCGTCGTCGTTTTGGTGTTAGCCCCGAGTGGCCTCGCTCATGGTTCACTAGACCTGCCTGACTCAGGCACTCGCGACTGCATGTGCTACAGCTCCATGCGCTCGATGTCGATGAAGTAAAACCCATCCCCGCCTATCGTTTCCGAAATTGCCGCCTCTTCTTTGCATGTACGAGGGATTTCACTTACACCTCGGCAACGGTCTACGTGATCAGATTGTGCCATGCACGCCGATCAACCGCTTACAATTCCCATGACCTGCAATCAAGATTAGAACGTGAGTTACATTTTGATCATGTCCTTGTAACGAAGCTTCGGTTTCCCCACATGTCGCTTCCCAATACTCAGCTGATCATATAATAGATGCTTCGGTATCCGCGTCGAATCCATACGCCACACTTGATCGAGCCACCTCAGGTGTCTCAGCAAACGTATGCAGTCCACTGCATACATTCCACTTCGGCGCAACAATTCCGTGTCCGCAACCCTGTCACACCAACCAATGCGCAGAATCTGTCGCAGACACTGTTGATGAAACCGCTCGAGATATCGCACATCTCGCCGGTACATCGTCACCGTTTCGCTGTCGTATAGAACGGACAGCGCCATGGATTCGTACACCAGCAACTTCGTGCCAACGGTAAGCTGATGGTTGTTCCACACTCGGCACTCCAGCTTCCCGGATACGCAGCTCACTGTGTAGTTGCTGGTCAGTCCACACCACACTCCCAAGGTAGCAGAAGCGGGAGGTGGTTTCCAATACGACCTCACCAATGCTGATTCGCGGCACCATTGTAGCTTGCACCTCCGGTGAGGGCTGAAATAGCCAGACAGTTTTGCTTGTGTTGGTGTCGAGCCCATATTTGGCCGCTGTCGAAGCCAGAGCACTAGTCATGTGCTGCAACTCATCCGCACAGTGTGCAAACAACGCACAGTCGTCAGCAAACAGCAAAATACGGATAGTTGTCGCACAAATTACGGTTCTCACACCGAAACGAAGGATGTTTAGCAACCCACGGTCAATACAGTGCTTCACACGAACACGGTAAGCACAAACCACATCAAAAGCATAAGACAGCATGGCATGAAGATAAATATTAAACAGGACAGGAGCTAAGACACAGCCTTGCTTCACACCAGAGATAAACGCAAAGTCATCCGAGGTCTCTCCACTCAACTGCACCCTCGCCCTTTATACCACTGTGCAAACATTTAATTAAACTTACAAACTTACTCGGACAACCAAATTTACCAAACACCAGCCACAATGCCTCGCGATTCACCGTATCAAATGTCTTGGTGAAATCAACAAAAAGCGAGTACAATGGATGGTGTCGTTCTGTACACTTCTCCTGCAACTGACGAGCCGCAAACAACATATCGATGGTGCTGCTATCCGGACGGAATCCACATTTCTCTTCCTACACGTTCGGTTCCACAACCCGACTGACGAGGCGGTTGAGTGGGATTCGAGCAATCATCTTGCGCACACAACTCAGCAAGTTGAGACCACAATAATTCGTATAACGTTACCGAACAACCTCCTCTTGGTGCCAGCTGGGTGGTTCGGGATTTTCCCGTTCCAGCAACTGGTTCGGCGGTACTGTTCCAGGAGGTGGTGGGTGTTCGCCTGGCAAGCGTCCAGCCTATAAAATGCCACATATGTCGGGTTAACAACACTCTGACGTGGCGGATGTGAGTCACCACAAAATAAAGTCACTGCCCCTTGTTCCATCCTGGCGAAGCAACTTGATGCTGTACTTCTGGGGGGCACTGGGCTAATGTTTGACAAACGAACAAACAAAAGACGTATGAACTGAACAATCAGTAACCGGCTCTTAATGGTCGCGATTCACTGAATTCGCTCCGTGGCCTTGTGGGTAGGCTATTCGGTCAAAGACTCGGGGTGATGTCCCCTAAGTCAACATCCTACTTCGGCTTGGGCTACCGCGTAGTAACTCCGATGTGTTTTGTTGTGTTTTCTTTTACGAGTGCTGTACCTCCTTTTTAGTCCCATGGTTTCTGATGGTTCTATGTCTATTCGTTGACGGTTGCGATATATATATATATATATATATATATATATATATATATATATATATATATATATATATATATATATATAGCCCTTGTACAATGGTGGCACAAGCGCATCCTTCAGCTCAGGAGACACCTGCTTCTCAATCCACACTCGTTGCACCGAGTGGGGCAGCGCAGTCACCAACGCAGGTGCACCGTGTTTCAGTACTTCAAGCGGGATCCCCTCGGCACCGACAGACTTACCGTTTCGCAGTTGAGCAATTGCTCTCTGTATCTCATCCACTGTCGGCGTGTCCGCCAGACTCACCTTCAGCTCGTACTGCTTGAGGCCGATCAAAGTTGGCCAGTCACTCGCTGAGTGGTTGTTCAAGAGACAGTCAAAGTGTTCTTGCCAGATCTGCATTATGTCTGCAGTCTGTGTGCAGGTAGCGCCTGAACTACCAGCCATCAGTGTCCTCAGTGGCGTCAACTTCGGTCCATACACCGCCTTCAAGGAGGCAAAGGACTCCTTGTGTTGGCGGCGTTCGGCGTGGCATCCATCTGCTTCGTCTTCTCCGTCCACCATGATTTTTTATATGACGGAGCTCTCGGGTCAGTGGCCATCGAAGTTTGCGAAACTGACTGTTCTTCCCCAAGTCACTGGGGTCTGCGGTATGTGAAGCAAATGGTGCATCCTTCTCCGACACCAATACGCCAATCATCGAATTGTTCTCATCAAACCGATCAGGCCGCTTACAGTTTGCGCGCCCGATGGTCTCCTCGGCAGTAGCTGTCACCTGGTCGCGCATGTTGGGCCACAGATCGCCCACTGTGGCTATGCATTCCACACCACACAGGCGTGCGGCCATCGCCTTCTCCAACTCATTACGTTTCTAAACAATACCTAGGGAGAATTTGTTAACTTTACGCCGATTCTCGACAAGAGCGCAATACACAGACTTACGAAAATAAGTGTACAGTTTGGTCCACACTCATTTGTGATCAATGCCACACTCAGCTCCCCCTCGTACACGTGTCATGCGCATTTCAAACATACCACGTTGACGTACGATGACATAGCCGAGCAAATGAGCGCGACCACTCCGTGGGTGCATCCAAGGCGCTATATCACACGCACTCAGCGCAACTCGAGTGGTCGTGATCGTCAGGCCGTGAGTGGTACACATTGAGAGCAGCGTCACCGTTCTCATTCGCTGAAACAATGCCATGCGGACCGATGACATCTTTCCACACCGATGCAACACGCCCAACGCGCGCGTTGAAATCACCCAGCAGAAATCGTCGGTCCCTCTTCGGCACAGACCGTATTACGGAGGATAGCTGAGTGTAGAATTGATCACGCGTGTCATCAGAATAAAACATGGTCGGACCCTACATGCTTAAAAAAGCGGCAAACTTACCTCTTCCGAATCGTAGGCGAACAGTCATCAGTCAAGCGCTGATGCCTGTTGGTTCACCCACCAGCTGGCCATTTAGGCGATCGGGTATTGCAAACCCGACCCCATGTTCACGTGGTGCTGAGGCGGCGTTGCCCACCCAGTAGAACGTGTAGTCAGAGCCTACTTCATGCAACGTACCTTGCTCAGCGAGCCGAGTCTCACTGAGCGCCGCAATATCGATGTTGTAGCGCGCCAGTTTCGTCGCGACCAGTGCAGTGCGTCACTCAGGGCGCTCACTCGAGTTCCGGTCCAGCAGTGTACGCACGTTCCAGCACCCGATGCTGAGTACTTTGCGCGCAGGCATATGATTGCATTGTTTGGCAATTACAAGCGCGGTGGCGGTTGTGCTTCTGAGGTTTGTTTGAGGGACTACACCGGGAGCCTTTGGTTCAATAGCCTGACCCACAAGGCAGTTTGGAGCAGATGCATCTCGGGAATGTGATTACAGAGACAGATGGGGATCTGTTCGAGGTTCGACACACGCATACTTTGGAAGTCTGGAAAAATCATATATCTTTTGCGACCGTAGTAGGATACCCACCTGCGATCACGGCCAGATGCAGATGGGTTTTGGCGGGGTTGCACCATTTTAACCAGGGGCTGCCTGGCTTGCGGGGGGTGGTAGCAAACCATTGAGCACCCAGAGGTGCGCTCCCATCCTCAGAGACAATGCGTGGCGTTCGTGCACTACGCCAATCGAGCTGTGAGCTTTTAACCCGTAGACCTATTGTCACCCATGGCTAGGTTTTACGGGAAGAGGGCCATCGACCACTTCCTAACCTCCGGAGGGGTTGAACTAAGATACTGCCAGGACACCCACACCTGACAGGAGAATGACTCGGGTCCTCAGACAAAGCCTACGATTATATGTACACCCGAAATTTAGCGGGTCTGGCACATGGTCAGTTCATTGACTCATGTGGATTGGTGTTCTGGATCTTAGCAGGGAGGAAGGCGTAATCCAAGTCCCACCCAGCGGTTGCCACGAGGAGACATCCAGGACATGAGCTCATGGCACAACAGTAGCAGCACTGGGTAGACCATCTGTCAGAATTTAGCCATCACCAGCCTCAGCACACCATAGGCTCTGCCACCTATATACATACATATACCTGCATGTGCAAGTTTGGTTGGCGACATCCTCTTCGGGATTTGCCTGTCACTGTAGCCTCCATAGGACAGCCACAAGATGCCTGCGCCTACAGAGAGACAATGGGTGGCTTGCGCTGCACCACCCACAGCTCTATCCCTACCCCCCATATCGAATGTAAACCCGAAGGAATAAGACCGGGAGGCATGTTGATAGGAGTCAGGTTTCATCAACTGAACTGGCCCACATTCCTCCAACATGCACTGCAGCAGCAATTTTGTCTAACTTGGGAATCATGTTTATCTGATTTACATGAGTCAGTTGCTTGATCGTAGTTCGCTTCCTACTGGATGGAACCGCTCTTTATGCCTAGTACGGCCAAGAGAACCATGCTCTCTGTCCCTCCCATCAACGATTCACCGTCTCCTGGAGACAGTAATCGAGGTGTAGGGTGTTAGAAAAGTAGGCACGTTGTCGACATCCACATCAAGCGCAGCCACACCAGGGATATCGAACAACGAACCTAGCATTTGAGGGGAAGCAAGCAAGCGAAATAGGCACAGTATCTAGTAGAATAGCAAAATTGAACAAACCAAATAAAGTAGAATGATATTTATCCAGATTAAAAAGATGTAGTTTGAGTGCACTTGGTTTCGCCCAACTGCTGTAAAGCAGCATCATGAACGCAACATCAACTTCAGCATGTGGCATATATATATATATATATATATATATATATATATATATATATATATGCAGCCGTCTACGAACAGAAAAGGAGTCATGAAAAATGGTGTTCAGTGGAAGGTACACTTGTCATAAAAGGAAAAGCGGACACAACATAGAGAAATTCCCACTTTCGTCAGAGGGCATGACACTACCTGGTTGCCCATGCCAACCATGCCCGGGCCTTTGGAATGATACAGAGTATATTACCATGAACCCTGCGAATGGATGCCACGCAAAACCATGAAGCGATACGAGCTGTACAACTTGTCCTATCGTCGATTTCGAGCAGTTTTCATTGACAAACCGGATAGTACATATGGGTGACCTACCTAAGCCGAGGTCGCTTCTGCAAGTACGCGCATCAAACAGCACTTGCAGACACCGATATAAGCTGGTGGTACTGGAGCTGAAGCGACTACCTCACCAACTATGCTTCGAACAGTTTGCCCGAGGTAATATTCGGAGTGAAATAAGTATCGGAAATCAAGAAATGTTTTGATGCCCACTTTGCAGATTACAGATTTAGTGAGCGCATCGCCCCTGAATAGGACGTTGCACAGCCGAAATGTTCTGTCAGTGCGCTATAACAAATTACGTTATTCCGCGTGCGTATCCGACAGTATATCGATATAGCGACGTAGTTTTGGGCATTCGAGGTCCCTATCTTCAGTATCCGGTAAACAGAGAGGTGAACAACCTTCGCAAGCCACAGAATACAAATGCCCTGCGGCCAGTCGAAACTACAAGGACTAATAAATTTTGATACGATGACCATGCAAATGGGTTAAAGTACCCACGACATTGCGTCGCTTCACCCGGTCGAACCAGCGAGGACGAAGGATATCAGCTGTGTAATTCAAGGTGAACGCGCACTGCAATAAGACACTACAGGGCTAATGTGCCGATAATATATACCAATTTCGACGAAGCGCTAGTGGAATGGTGCTGGAATTCATTGACCCAACTGTGGGTCCGAGCGACCTACTGTCGTACGTTCCTGAATCTTGACTATCTCATGGTTAACTTTGGTCACTCTATATAGCATATTAAGCAATGACTCTGCTGGTCACTTCTCAAGCTAACGGTTAGTTGTCTTGAACAATTGGTCCCCATGTACCGCAGCTCTGACTCCTTAACTGCCTCATCCATATTAACTGGAATACGTTGTTAGCTTTAATATGATGATCTGTCCCTCAGGTTCGGCATGATACCACGTCTACTCTGAAAGCAGGCAGGGAATTCAGTTTATGTCACTTTCTAATGGCTCATATATGCGGGGGCAAATGACAAGTCTTACTGATGTTTTTCTGTTTCACCGTACAGATTTCTTGGGAATCATCCACCTTGGGTTTTTGGTTCACCGAACTGATCGAACGTAATCATCAATTTGCTAATTGGCTCAACAATGGTCGCCCGACGTGCTTCTGGATTACCGGATTTTTCAACCCTCAAGGATTTCTGACGGCTATTCGGCAGGAAGTAACACGTAAACACGAAGGGTGGGCATTGGACAGTGTAGTTTTGTGGAACGAGGTCACCAAATTCATGAATGATGATGTGAATAAACCACCGTCGGAGGGAACACTTGTCTACGGTCTGTTCCTCGAAGGGGCGGGCTTTGATCGTCGAAACTTGTGTCTCTCAGACGCTAAATCGAAAATTTTGTACCAGCCAATGCCGGTGATACATATACAAGCACGCGAATTGGAAAAAGATAAAGAAGTGCCGAAAGAAATGCTCAAAAATTTGTATGTTTGTCCGGTGTACAAGAAACCGCGTCGGACGGATTTAACTTTCGTTACCTCTTTTTACTTACGTTGCCCACTCGGTAAGCCTGCGGAATTCTGGATATTGCGAGGAACTGCTTTATTGTGTGACATTAGATAAGACATGTAAATTGTGACGGATGGGTTATACTGTCTTCAAATGTCAAATTTTAATAATCCACCTTATGAATTTTAAACTCTTTCATTGAACTCGGTGTACTTTGAACTGTTTCGCCTTCATTACTATGCATTTTAACACACTGTTTCAGTTGCTTGTTTGCCAAATGCTGATAAGGTCGAGTCTTGTAGTTTTACTCACGATTAGATTTGCCTGGAGCGTGTTTCAAGCCAAATGATTAGACATAACATTTAGCCCACATCATGTTTATGGACTTGCTAAGTTGTCCAGTTTTGATACTGACACAACCTGCCTGACACGAGGAAATCGGAAAACGCAATCATTGAATCCTATAGTCTTAAAAACACTACCGGACGTATTTAGAAGAGAGCTTATTAGGGGTAATCAACTTCGCATAACGTAACAGTTCGAAATAAATGGTGGTTTCTTTGATTCCATACGCCGTCGGACTTGAGTACAGCGGTGTATTGAGCGGTGTTGATGGACTGGTGGGTGCCTGTAACTCTTACGGAAACCAGCATAGAATGGCGACAGAATAACATAATTACCGACTGTAGCAATGGATTTAATGCCACCAGTGAACCAATCCACTAACTAAAAACCCCCGTGAGACCTTAGCCGACAAACAACGTTTCCGCTACAAATGAATTTGTGGCTAAACCCAGCACACCATCAGCCTTAACTGTGAGACAGGTTGGTCACCGGAGACACTGCATCACGCACACGTGAACGGAATCCACGTCGTCGCTGTTGTATCTATTAAGGAAGAACAACTAATGGACAAAGTTATGGCGGCTGAACTGTTCACTGAACTTGGTAATTTTGTTGCAAACGTTGCGCCACCAATCGAGGTGCACGGTGTCGTTGGTGGGTACACACAGACTGTGATTCATGACGAGCAAGGTCCAGCGACTGCGACCATCCCGTCGTCTACACTTGGACGCAACCTCCTCTACAAAACGATGACAGCACAGCATCTAAGTGCCTGAGCTGCAGCAGAAATGTCACTTCTCGGTCTAGGGCTCTGCAGTGCGGTCTGTGCGAAGGATGGGCCCACACAACGTGCGGCTGTAGCGACCTGGAGATTCCCCCGTATGACTGTGTAAACTATTATAAAATACATTCAAATTATAGCTTCTTATTTATTAGGCACTACGCGCTTTGCCTGTTGGAACGTTGTTCCCTGTTTGTTGAAAACACGAACGCCATCTTCCCCTTTGGCGCCGCGACTCGATTGCGAACGACGCCTCTGTCATCCGCCCTCGACGCCATCGACATTCTCCCTAGCTAGCTCTCTCCGGGTGCCCTATTTTTAGCATTAGCTAACGCTCCTCCCGCCAATAAATCTATGGTCCGCCTAGGCTGTACCTGTTTTGTGTGTCTTCTGCTATCCCTTGATTTTTGGTTGGCGCCAGTCTGAAGTCGAACGCGTTGTACCAGGACTTCATATAGTAGCGCTCGTGTCCTACGCGCCCTAATAAGTGCGTGACCCGGCGAAAAAACACTACTGTTTTGTGTGAAGTTCGGGTAACGAATATTTTTTTGTGTCAGGATCCCGGTGCTATTGTATTCACTGTCGACCCTGCTTACTTTTGTCACCCTTCTAACTACTTTGCTTGTTCACATTTCTCACACGACTCGCGTAATTGATTTCAGCCATATGAAGGGTCAGCCGCCCTAATCAGCTGACGTTCAGGTTCGTGCGTTCCGTTTCCCTCTCCCCCGCCCTGCCCAGATGTACCTAACCCTAAGGCCTGTGTTTTAACCCATAGCAAATTCCATCTTATTCCGTTATACAATGGCGTTAACTCTGACTGCGTCCAAATTATCAGCGCGCGTTGTTCGCCGCGACTGCCGCACCGCAATGTCGGTCGCGATTGACACGCGACGATCGTCCTTGGAACTTCCGTGAGATCACGATAAAAGTATACGACGAGCTTTAAGGGCCAGATCGTCTTAAAGCGATTTGGCAGTATCAGCCCATGCTCGCGTCCACGCAGCTGTCTTATGAGAGTTGAACCAGAGCTTAGGGATACCCGAAAGCCCCGTCGCAGTTGAGTGCTGCACCTGATGCACTAGCGCTCTCATAGCAAGCCTCTCGCTGTTGGCAGCACCTCGTGCTCCATGAGATGGGATGTGGCTTCGTTGCGGCCACGTAGTACATGGCGCTCTTCCCTTGTCTATGTGCAAACGATGCGCCTCTTACCTCAGCTAGCCGATATAAGGCCGACCGCGTATTTGGAGGAATCAAACGGCCCAAAGTATCTCAGCGTTCAGGTCTACTCTCCAGTACAGAGGTAGCAGAAACTTAAGAGCGGGCAAGTAGTCCCGTCATTTAACCCAACCGACTAGAGAAGGGCTACACACTAATCCGTGAGTCCAACCGACGAGAATAGTTGTCCCATGGAATTCGCATCCGCCTAGATCACGTATCAAATCTCCCCCGAGTCCAAGCTAGGCTGTATCATCGAGCGATTTAGGTCAGATGCCAGATCGGGTACCAGACCGTATGTTCTTTTCAGAGATACTTTGCAGGGAAACGTGTGAGGCTAAAGTTAGGGGCGACGGAGTTTCGTGGGCTGCCCTCAAGTCGCCTTTTCTTTCTAAGGACTCGCAAGCGTATAAACGGGAGTTACGATTTCAGCGGTGACCACAGGTGCAGAAAGTTCTTATGCACCCACGTGATTCTAATGATACAGTTATCGAAGAGGTGCGATTCGTTCTTTTCTTTTGCGATCATGCAAACCGCACCACCTCGATTGCGCGTTATTGAGTCAACAGCATACCGCGGCCTCAGCTTATTTATCTAAACCGACGACGTCATTAAAATGAATCTTCCTCTCGCAGCGATGTCCATACGCCATTTCTTGGCCTACTTTCTGCAGCACTTTCGATGTACTATGTTGACGCAAAGCAACGCCGATCTAGCTGTCGACCGTCAACTTACAAACCTGGCCAGGGAATAGGGTACTTGAATTGACCGACATAGAGTCAATCATTCCTGTATACTGCCAACCTGGTCAAGCGTCGCCTATCGGTCTATGCTTAATACGAAGTTTTCCCGCAAGTCCTTTCGTGCAAGGACAGCCGCTTTTTTATGATCCGCCACTCGAGGCTCGCGGAAACATTATGTTCGGCACGAAAGTTCCGCCTTGTTTTTGTGCGATGCCAGACGAATGACGCCCTGACAAGTTGAAAATTTTGGCTCGCGCAGTATATATACGAGCACATTGCTTGAACTAGCATTCGTTTTCGCCCCGTCTAAATGACATCCCTGAGGCGTCGCCGCTCCACATGTGTGCCCAAAAAGTCAGAGACCTGCGATCCATGTGTGATAACCGAGAGCGCTCAATTAACGGTATACTGTTTTTGGGTACCCGACCGATTTTCCGTATTCACCTCACATATACGAACAATCACACGCGCCAACCGGTCCGGCATAATACCCGTGATTGTTTTTCCACTAAAAAAAATCGTTCTTGTGCCGGCATATATCACCAGTTGTCCTGTCGCTGTGAAAGACATACCCGGAAAAGAAGGTAGTACAAAGAAGGGGGGGCTGTGGTTGAGATGGGGGGGGAGGGATTGAAGTAGAGGGAATGCAGGAATAGCTGCGACCTCGGTCTGTCATATAGCACGAATGCAGCACAGATATTTGGGGGCTTTTTTTGAGTGCTGAGGCATTATGCACATCGACAGAAAGCCGTTGGTGCCAGCGTCCTATATCTGTGTAGGAACAGCAACGCAGATACATCTCAACGAGTTCTTTAGTCGATAGTCTGGTCCGCTAATAAAACAGCTACGTCACCTGTCCGAACATGAAACCCATCCAACCCCGTACATAGGTAGTATTTCTATAGGCAAGACCTGTCCATCGTATTTCCTTGCCAGGTGACGGCTTTATATTGAGACAGGTAATAGTTCATAAACGACCCTCTTAACGAATATGGTGCACCCGAGCCTGAATATATCTGATACGTTCGGGTAAGTAGTAGTGTATGGGCTTGGAGCCTTTCGGTATAACGCAATGCGCATAGTCGTTTGATTGCACGAAGGTTTTTTGCGAAGACCACGACGGGTGCCAAATTGGTAAGTCCAATATTACACGACCTCACTTCGTGGACTCGTCTTAAATAGTAACGTCAGGTGGAAACTGACTGCGGATGTGCTGATAGTTCTTTTAAATGCCATCAAAGAAGCCGTACCATAGCCCGTTCAGTGAGCTTTTTCAATCATTTCGATCCGAATGCATACAACTCAGTATTTCAAAGGTCGATAGCTGTCAGACACCGCCATTCGCCGTCCTACAGCAAACTCAATTATGGGAAGCTAGGAACCTTGCAGTTCTAAGATATGTCGCCTTACATCCCGACGGAATGGAATTGGTTCAGATTAGGGTGGTCAGTGACCAACGATTCTGGCATCAACGGGATCGACAGTACGTTCAGAATTTTGCAAGACAAGCGCAGCCTGGTTTCACCTGCAATTTGACTTCACTAAGTTACAATTGGGAAGAGTACCGAGCGATTATAAACAATATGTATCTATCAGAGATCATAGGCATCCACACTTCGGAAGATGTAGTATCACGGAGAGGCGTCTGTTGCATAATGGTCGCGTCTCGTAGGATTTTAAGCGCTGTGGACATGCCATTCAAATGGCGTCGGTAGCGTGATTGCACGGTGTGTTCTGTGGTATGCGTCGCGGTTTGGACGGCGCAGGGCAGGTGCAAGCGAGATTTGTGGCTGCTATTGGCCAGCCGCGCGCTAGAATAGGGATCTATTCGACCTGAAACACTTTTTCGGTATAACATGTTCCGCGTAGGGGGTTCTTTGCGTGTGAGGAGATATGAGATGGTACTCATGGGGGGGCGCATGGCCCCTTCGTGGACGTCGTTGCTGGTGGTGCTAGCCCTTTGTATCGATCTTATTCCGTTTCCGTCCGGGGTGCCGGAGGGGGGTCCGGGGGCGCATGGGCCAGGTAGAAACGGTAGGGGTGCGCGCGGTTAGCTTGTTGCGGACTCTTAGGAGCACTCGATTCTATTGTTCGGCGCGCCAGCCGCATCATACCGAGAGGGCAGGACTAAACTTGTTAAATTTTGTTGCTTAAACGATTGTCGTC